TGCCACAAATAGGTCCTATTTCTTTACTTCCCCTCTTTTGTTTCTGTCTGTGTGGGTGGTTGGGGGGTGCCTCTGGTAGGTCCTACTTCTTTACTTCCCCTCTGTTATTTCTGTCTGTGTGGGTGGGTGGAGGGTGCCACTGATAGGTCCTACTGCCTTACTTTCCCTCTGTTGTTTCTGTCTGTCTTACTTTTTCCCAGCACTACATGACCAATACTGTGTGCATATTAAGCTTCTCTTTACTCAATCAAACAAACAAACAATTCCCTCACTTTTCTTGATAGCTCTTAAATCAGGTTGAATGTTTTTGATATTTCGGTTAGAGGGCGCCATTGGTAGGACCTCTACCTCTTTACTTTCCCTCTATTGTTTCTGTCTGTCTTTCTTAATTTTCCCCAGCACTAAAGGACCATAGATCTAACTGGGTCGATGTGCTTCTCTTTACTCAAACAAACTAACAGTTCTTTGGTATATCGTCCCGTGCTATATCTCAGCTTTTACGTTCGTTTGTCGTGCTGTGTCGTTGTCCCAAAGTTTGTCTTGTGTTGTGGTTGTGGTTGTATGTGCGTGGGTGGTTGGTGGGTGCTCTGGAGTGGTTTGCTCCTTCTTTCCTATCAAGCATCTATCGTCTATATCTCCCCTCCTTCTTTTTTTGTGTTTGTTACTCTCTTGTAACACCTCTAATCGTCAGCATTTGTGTAACCTTATTGTTTTGCAAATGCCGAAAAACTCTTATGAAAACTAAAAGATTGTACGTGCAAGGGTCGTTGTTTTACGCAATGTGGGTGGTTGGCGGGTGCTCTGGTGTGCTTTTCTTCTTCTTTCCTTTCAAGCATCTATCGTCTTTATTTCCTCTCCTTCTTCTTTGTGTTTGTTACTCTCTTGTAACATCTCTAATCTTCGGCACTTTTATGACATTATGGTGTTGCAAGTGTCGTCAAACTCTTACTAAGACTGTAGATCTACTGTATGTGTCTCCCCCAATCATGTTCTGATCAAAGATACTGTCTGTGTCTACACCAGACATGTTCTATTTTGATCAAGATATTGTATTTACTGATCCAAGTACTATATTTGTGGCCTCCAATCATGTTCTGACCAAAGCTACTATCTGTCTCTCCACCAATCATGTTCTGACCAATGTACTGTCTGTTTCTATACCTATCATGTTCTGATCCATATCTGTGTCTCCACTGATGTTCTGATCAATGTACTACTGTCTGTGTCTTCACCAATAACTTTACTGATCAAAGTACTGTATTTGTGACCACCAATAACTGCTCTGACCTTTGTACTGTCTGTATCTCCACCAATCATATTGTTACCAAAGTATTGTCTGTGTGGGTGGTTGCCTGGTGCTCTTGTGTGGTTTGCTTCTTCTTTCCTATCAAACATATAATGTCTTTATCTCTCCTCCTTCTTTTTGCGTTTATTATTCTCTAATCTTCGGCACTTGGTATAAACTTATTGAGTCGCAAATGCCACAAGACTCTTACTAAATTTAAAAAATGAACAAAGCTACTGTCTGTGTGTTCACCAGTCATGTTCTGTTCTGATCAAGATACTATATTTACTGGTCAAAGTACTGTATTTGTCACCACCAATAACTGTTCTGACCAATGTACTACTGTCTGTGTGTTCCACTAATCATGTTCTGACCAATGTATTACCGTCTGTCTCTTCACCAATCATGTTCTGACCAATGTACTACTATCTGTCTCTCCACCAATCATGTTCTGACCAATGTACTGTCTGTTTCAATACCTATCATGTTCTGATCAATATCTGTGTCTCCACTGATGTTCTGACCAATGTACTACTGTCTGTGTCTTCACCAATAACTGTACTGATAAAAGTACTGTATTTACTGACCAAAGCTACTATCTGTGTCTTCCCCAGCGCTGCAAGGACAAGCTGAACACTCTGGCCATCTCCGTCCTGAACCAGTGGCCAGGGGTCAAGCTGAGGGTCACCGAGGCCTGGGATGAGGACGGCATGCACGCGGAGAACTCTCTGCACTATGAGGGCCGGGCGGTGGACATCACTACCTCAGACAGGTCACTCGCGTATATATATATATTATATAT